CCCAGGGCAGTGCCGTAAATAGCCGCGGTTTCCATCCCGGGCCTCGCGTCCCTCCCGGCCTTCCGGATCTTTGGGATTTTCTCTCTCTTCTTCCCGCCTCCCTTTCCTCTGCCCCAAGGCCCCTGCCACCTCCCCGCTGTGCACCCACCACATCCTGTCCCCACGCGGGATGGTTCCTGCGCTGGAGGGGCCAGGAAACCGGCTCTGAGGCCCAGGGTTCCAGAGGTCAAATAAGCACAAGTATGAGTGAGGATTAATTGAGCACATACTCTGTGCTGAGCTATTTCCGGGTGAGAAGTCATGAAATCTTGACCACCACCCAGTGAAGGGTGGCCCCAATTTGCAAATGGAGAAACAGGCTCAGATGCTCCTTGGGTGCCAAGGTCACCTCCCCCAGCAGAGACTACGGCTGTTACTCTGCCCTGTGTTGCTTGCTAGTGTGGACAGAGGCCTCAGTGGGAGGTGGGAAGCCGCCCACTGGGGCCTCTCCTCTGCCACCAATTCTCAGTGTAACCTAGAGCCAGCCCAGCCCGCTCCGTGTCCACATCTGTAAAATAAAGGTGATGAAAAGTAAAAGTATCCAAGTGGAGTGTGAAGGAGTAAGCGAGCTGCCTTTGGGAAGGGCTATGGGAGGCGGAGTGACTGTCACCTGGAATGTTGAGACAGACCCACAGACCAGGCCTGGCTGTGTCCGAGTAGGGCCAGCCCGGGGGATCTGCATTTTAGCAAATGCAGCCATCAGGTTTGGGGATCCACCCAAGAAATTCCTGGAAGGGAGGAAGGAGGTGTGTGTATGATTATCCGCCCTCAGACCTCCACACTTGCCCTTATTCATCGCTGCCTTCACTGGCCTGAGCTCAGAAAGACTACATGTTTCTTAAGGACCTACTGTGTGCCAGGTACACATGTATGACAGCCCACTTTCAGAGAGCTCTTGGCATGATCACCTCCCCATCTGGCAGACCCGCTGGCCCTCTGGGAGAAATAGAGCAAAGCACCTTCTTTCAGGGGCCGGCAGGCTGGCACCAGGCTGTGCAGCTCCGTGAGCCGAGCAGGGGCTGGTTTTGCCTTCATTCTTGTTCTTGGCACCTATATCTGCTCAGGACACAGCCTGAGAGTGAAGGAGAGCTGCGAGGTATATACAGATCAGAGCAACTTGGGAAAGCCCAGGAAAGGGGCCAAATAATTCTTGCAGGAGTTAGGAATAGAGGCAGAAAAACCCTACTGAGGAGATAGCCATAAGCTGGACCTTTAAGGATGGGTGGGAGTTCACCAGGTGGAAAGGGAGGTCCAGGCAGAGGCAACAGCCAAGGCCAAAGTGTGGGGGTGAAAATCTCACCTGGTCCGGGGCAGGGAATGGCTAGGGAGCAAACCGGGAGGGGACGCACCCTCCCCAGCTCCCATCTCTATGCCAGCACTAACTGAACACAGCTTAGCTGCCAACCAGAGGTTCCCTCTCCTGGCCTGTGAGATGCTGTAGGACAGAGAAGGCGGCTTATTCCTCTTCTGTGGCCGAGTACCTCGCCCAGTGTCCATAATTACAACAGTAATAATAGTTAACAGGTATTAAATATTTACTATCACACACTGTGCTAAGTGCTTCACATGAATTATCTCGTTTCATCCTCGAACAGCTTGGGAAATAAGTGCTATTATTAATCTCGTTTTACAGATGAGGATTCTAAGATTTGAAGGGGCTAAGTAATGTGCCTAAGGTCACACAGCTACTTAGTGGGGGAGCTAGGACTGGAATTCAGGTCTCTCTGACCGCAGGTCCCTTGTTCTACACGGATGGATGGATGCATGGATGGATGGATGGGAGGCAGGCAGAAATAAGTGAAGAAGGGCCTTGAGTGCCATATTAGGGAACTTGAACTTTATGCCGAGGGCAATGGGGAGACGTTGGAAGTATGTGAGCAGGAGAAACAGCTGGGGATAGGGCTTTAGATGGATCACTTTGGCAACAGTGGGAAGGTAGCTTAGAGCCGATGACACGAGCAGGAAGCCATTTCTATGGCAAATCCCAGTCCCACTTGTGAGGAGCCTCATTTCGCTGTGTTATTTCTCTCAGGGCAAGCCCTGTGTTCCTGTGTGCACATGGGCCTATTGGCAGAAGGGAACACTGAGGAAGTGGGGAGACAGGGGTGGGACATTAGCTAAGGTCCGGGGAGAGGCCTCTCTCAGGGCGGGCAGAGCACCTGGAATGGAGGAGCCATCCAGTTCCCCTCCCATTTCCAAGGTGACAAGGCCCCTGGGCTTGCAGGCAGGAAGCTGGAAGCACAGGTCCCACACACTGCCCCCTTGTGCACCTGCCACCAGAGGGAAAGCAGCCAACGGTGAGGGTGAGGCGGATGTTGCATCAGAGCTAAGCCCTGGGTCAGGTGCTGGGGGCGGTGGTGCAGGAGGACTGGTCCCTCCTCAGATATCATTGGCCTTTCCAGCTGGGAGGGAGGGGAGCCACAGGAAATGTCCCTGGGAGGGCAGATAAGCTGGAGGAAGAAGCAGGGTAGCTGGAAGGACGAGGAGCAGGTGGAGCCTCCCTCACCTACAAAGGAGCCAGAGGGAGGACTGGCCTGCTGGAGGCGGCCCTGCAGGCTGAGAGGGACTCACAGAGGGTCCCAGCACAGAGCCGCACTCACCATGCTGCTCTGCCTCGCCCTGCTCCTCCTGACGGGGCTGTCTGCCTGCACCGTGGCAGGTGACAAGAAACTGGCACCCGGTGGCACTGAAGCAGGGTCTTTGGTAACCGTGACCCTGGAGGTAACTTTGGGGAAAGGCAGGGGTGATCTGTGGTTGAGGGGAGAGCAGGCTGTCACTGCAAGGCAGGTGGTCCGATTCCCCTCTGTAGGTAGGTTCAAGGCCATGGCCCCTGGCCTGACTGAACTCTAAACGGACAGGGGGGGGGGGAGGGAGAGAGAGAGAGAGAGAGAGAGAGAGAGAGAGAGAGAGAGAGAGAGAGAACGAACCTATTTAACACCTATTTGGCATATATGTCCTAAATGCCTCATAAACATTAACCCATTTAATTCTCATATCCACTTTATGGGGAAAGTACCATTCCATAGATAAGGAAACTTGGACACAGAAAGGTCCGGTCGTTTGTCGAAGGTTACACACCTTCAAAAGCAGAGCTGCACCCCTTGCCCAAGGTCTGACTATGTGTCTGGGTCTCAGAGGATATTTTCAGAATTTCAAAGGAAGCAACTTGGGCAGGATCCCTGTTTTGTCTCACACGTAGAACTCTCATTCCCTGACAAACACTGGGGAGAAATCAAGAGGTTTGGGACCTAGCACCTGTGTCCCACCCCATGTGGTAGGGGAGACAAAGGTCCTGACCTTGGGGAGCTTCTAGGCAGATGGGGGAGAGGCAACCAGACCGGAAGGCAGGACTGGTGCCCAGGGAAGGCTTCCAGGAGGATGGACAGTGGGACAAGGCCAGGCCTGGCACCTCCCAGTCCCAGGGTGGGGAGGACACAGGCCACGGGAACAGCCATTGAAGGAACAGCCATTCGTGGTGAGTTCCCTTCCTGGTTTGAGCGTGGAAGTGTGTGCCGTTGAGAAGACAAAAGGATGGGGAGGCCTGGGTTCAAGTCTTCGCTTCTCCACGGACTTCGTGTGACCTTGGGACGGTCACTGTTGCTCTCTGGGGATCAGTTTCCTTGCCGGAAAGATGGGGGGAAATACCCTGACCCTCACGGCATTTTTCAAGCTTACGGAGTCTGTGCCAAACACCAGGGGACCGGACCCAGGCATAGGGCAGCCGCGCTGTGACGGGGGTTCCCTGTGCAGCCACATGGAACATCATCAACTTCAACTGGCACCGCGCGCTTTCCACCTGCAAGCACCTCACTGGGCAGCTGGTCTCCGGCTGCTTCTCCTTTATTCTCAGTTAGCATCCCATCCCCTGCTTCCCGAGACACAGGGCTTGGAATACAGGAACCATTAAGACGAGTGTGGTGAAGGGAGGGATGGAGGCACTGCCAGGAGCCATCCAATCCCCTCCCTAGCTCCCAGGCTCCCTGCCTGCAGTTTTCCCTCAGTGTTTTCAAGGGTGATTGGGTTAAATCAGTGGTCGGCAAACTTCAGCTCGCGAGCCACATGCGGCTCTGTGGCCCCTTGAGTGTGGCTCTTCCACAAAATACCACGAGCAGGCGCACACGTACAGCGCGATTGAAACTTCGTGGCCCAGGCACAGAAGTCGGTATTTTGTGGAAGAACCACACTGAAGGGGCCCAAAGAGCTGCATGTGGCTCGCGAGCTGCAGGTTGTCGACCACTGGTTTAGGGTCTCTCATG